CTCCATTTTGACTGGATCATGTAGACACTTTATTTTTGTATAATAAAACATTTATTTATAACATATACAAGATAAAAACTATTTTAACAATATAGTAAATGCACTGTCATTTGCAAAAATTTTTCAAAAGTGTATCTAAAAAAAGCCATACTATTATTTAATTAAAATGTAAATTTATTTAGATAAATAGCTTTACTAAGCGTAATAAAAAATTGCCCAAAAAAAAAAATCTGGCTTAAATGAAAATGAGATTCCCGAAACTGAAATTTACTTCGATAGCATACCAAAAAAAAGCATTGAATAGTTAGAGAAATTATGTTTAAAAAATAAGGCTATATCACACTTAAAGGAAAGTATTTTAACTAATATAGTCAAATTTCTTAAAAGAAATGTTTTTCTTCAACAAAGAAGAACAAATTGTTCTAAGAACAATTTTGAAAAAATACTGATATCAATACTTTTTTAACAATTGGCATGTAGTTGTAGTTATTCTGTTCTTTGAAATGGATATAACAGTGCCATTAACATTAACATTTACTATACATCTAATGAATGAATCAATTTAACATTAACATACATTAACAAATGTTTTATGAATGACAAAAAGGTTTTTGTACTAATCTAATCTTGTTGCGCACAACACTCACAAAAATGGCAAACATAATATATTTCGATATTTATTTACGATTAATAATAAAACAAAAATATATGTGAGCAAACTTATAAATCTGATTAATACTAGCAATTAATTGGCTTTATAGAATATTTATAGAATATACTGTGACCAATAGCATCACCGATAATTAACTTCTCAAGTACTCAATGGTGATATTAATAGTACATAAAAAATGCATTACGGAAATATTAGTAATTCTTTTCCCATACTATATGATTCATCACTACTTGCAACAAAATAAATACATTATTTCGTAAAGAAAACACGCATCTAAAGTGCACGAGTATCGCAAATGTTATTAGGAAACGTCCAGATAAAAGATATTTTTTATGATTAAAAATGAAATTTTTCAATTTGTTTTAAGGAGTGCTTAATTTACTGGTTCTTCTACCAATAAATATATTACCTAATAAAATTAAGGAAGGAAATTTTGTATTTTATAATTTTAGTGTCATTTTATTAAACCTTTATTTTTATTGTCGAATATTTCTCTCGCATTCATTATTCTATTTTTATTATTTTATAGCATATAAATAATTATTATGTAATTATAATTATTATATATTTTTGTTATTGTCGTTTCATAAAACTATACTTAAAATAGTATTGAGTGATTCAGATTTATTCTCTAATTTTATCTGACTACTAATCAGTTATTATGTTAACATATAATTTTTAAATATCAAATCTTTATTTACATTCACAAACACCTTATGTATGTCATAACATATGTATTAAGCAGTATATACTATATATGTATGATTTATGATTAATATTTTTGTCAGGTAAGAATTTTATATTTGAAATATTTTTGTGAGATTATTAAAAACTAGGTAAATATCTTGATTTACGGATTAAAAAGTGTGTATGACTCACATATTGCCATAATAAAACAAAGTAGATGAATATAAGCCAGAAAGTTTATTACCTGAAGTGGCTTATATAATAAAGCTATCTACGTATACCCTTATCTTATTTCAATAAAAGGTGATTTTTTAATATCATATGCACACTCTGTAACTTTCGTTTTAAACATTATGACTCAATATTAAAGTATGAGATACGTTTCTTATTACGACAGCATCTTTTGCAAAATATTACTAATTGGAATTCCAAATATGTGCATTCTTTATACAATGGAATATGCATTCATGTATATAACAAAACATATATCCATATATAAACTTATAAGGTTTATATATAAATGGAAATGTAAACTACCTTCACATTTCCGACTGTCTCTTGTTTATATTCTTGCTTTATTTGTATTAATATAGAAAAAGTAATTAAATTATATTTTTTTTTCGGTTAAATTAAAATAATTGTTGTCATTGTTTAATTAAGAAAAATTCAAAATAATTTAGAAAAACTATTTTTTAGTTCAACAAATCAGATATCAATTGCATTTCTTTTTTGATTCTCTGAGATATAAATATACGTGTCTATATGCCAATGAACTTAATTACTTTATGAGTAGATCAGTAAAACCATTGAGTAAAAATATTTTTACTCAATGGTAAAACTCATCTATGAGCATTAATTACTGCAAAGAGCAACTCAAATACTCTTTGAGTATTTTTAGTTGTGATTCATCACTGTACAATATTTTGTTTTTAAAGGTAGTATTTGTATTGAGAAAGTAATTTGTTGAATATTGTGCGACTGCATATTTCAGTATCTTTTTAATATATTTTTAAATTTTTTAGTATTAATTTTTAGAGCATACTTTCCTCATTTTATAGAAAAATTTTACTTGTAAAATCATATTCTCTTAAACATCTGTATATTATTTGGTTAATGAAGCATTTGTATTACTATTGGTATTTAGTTATTTATTTATTTATTTAAAGTAATTATAAACTTTCCAAATCATAAAATAAGTTAGAGCTATGCATAGGATTTATTGTTCATTTTTCATTATATTATATAATTACTTTTGTATATATGTATGTATATATTTGATTTCAATAAATTTAATATGAAATTGTAAAGAGTTGACGTACTTAGACCTTTTCAGCTCATATTATAGGGAATTGAAATTTAATATACATCTATACAAAAGTAATATGTTATTATAATAATGAAATGGAAAAATTTATAAAAATTATTATGCATTGCTTTAACTTATTTTTAAAATAATATATAGCATACAAAGCTAAACACTTGCCTCAAAATTTTCCGTAAAATTTCGTATCCTAGTTTGAACAAGCTCCATTTTGACTGGATCATGTAGACACTTTATTTTTGTATAATAAAACATTTATTTATAACATATACAAGATAAAAACTATTTTAACAATATAGTAAATGCACTGTCATTTGCAAAAATTTTTCAAAAGTGTATCTAAAAAAAGCCATACTATTATTTAATTAAAATGTAAATTTATTTAGATAAAATGGCTTTACTAAGCGTAATAGATTATTTTTACTATTTTTTCTTAATTTTTTGTTTTATAATTTATTTGACTGTTATAAACAAAACAAAAACGATGTTGACATAAAAATTAGCAGACACGATTACAAAAATAATGTATTGAATATAAAAATTTAAAAGTAATAGAAAGTAGGTCATATAACAAAAAAATAATTACAAGAGGTGTTAATAAAATACAACAGTAATTTCAATTACAAAACTCAAAATTCATCAAATAAGCTCATTCAATTTATTGTACAATAATACATACAAAAATGATTTTATTTAACATAATTGACTTGCGTTGATATTCGAAAAATAATATACATTTTTTAAGAGTGTGAAAAAAAATAATGTGTACAAAATTTAAATTAATTATTGATTAACAGAGATATAAGTTAATTTGCTGTTTATTTACAGCTTTTACATTGTGCTGCGGCACAACCAATTGCAGCTTAACACTCCAAACAACATAGCTTAACATTTTATTGTGAATGTACAGAACACAGATTGATTTGCTATGTTAAAATGCTTACAGACAATTATTTATGAGTTATATTTTCTAATGCGACAGCAGAATTTAATGCAGCAAAATTGAAAAATTTAATCACAGTTTTGTAGTTTTGTTATTGCCTTCAATATATACAGTTTTTTATTTAAAATCGCTTTCGATATTAGATTTTACATTGAAAAGTTTTTTATAAAAAAAAAATAAACACAGCGTAAAAAACGTTGCGGTCAAAATTAATATGTACAATATGTACATGCAAGTAACGAGTAATGGGTAGGCGGCAATGACTCAGTTGGAAAAATTTAAAAATAAAAAATACACGCTAATAGAAGTACTAATTATTTTAATAAGTTAACAAAATAAGTCAAATCATATGTTTGTTTTGAACACAAATACTAATACGACGGTTTAACAAAATAGAGTTTGATTGAAAAATCAAAGGAAATTTTGAATATAGACATTTAGATATTTAAATGTTCAAAATGGATAATCTAAATAATCATTTAAATAATCTACATGATAAATAAACTTAATAACTTGTCTTAGAGTATTGTTATTAATAATATATTTAAAAATGTAAGTAAAATAAAAATGTGAAAGTCAAATTTTTCTCTTATATTGTATTGAATAAAAAACACAATTTTATATATGTATGTAAATAAAATTTTTTGTGGTCATGTGTTTTCCATGTATTACATTAAATCTTAGGAATCAACAGTCAAATTAGATTTTAAGAAGCTAGAGAGATTTAAGCAATAAAGTTTAGTATTTAATTAATTGAAAAACATTAGCTCATAATTTATAGCTTTTCAATAACAATTCTCTAAATTTTTGAATTATATAATTTAAATACTTATATCATCTGTTATTCTCGTTAACATATTTATATAAGACGTTGTAGTCATATCATCTAACTAAATCCAGTTTAAGAGGCTTAAAACATAGTCTTTTTTAAATTTATATACATTTATAAATTTAAAATTGGAAATATTTTTTTTTAGATTTCATTTTTAAAATCAAAATATCTAAACTCTCTTGTTTAAGTTCTGAAACACGTAAAGAAGAAAGCTCTTGCGTCTACAGAAGCGGTACGAAAACTCGTTTTTGGCTTAAAGAATTTTAATGGCTGAGTTGTTGTTGTTGCCATAAATGACATCAACTAAGCAAAATGCATTTTAAAAATGTATTTTTTATACTTAAAAAAAAAAGTAAGTGGCGATTGCAACAAGGCAAGATTTTTTTAATTAATTATTGTATTTACTTTACGTCTTTCTCTATAGTTTTCATATTTTTTTTTTGTTTACTTATATATTTATTTTTTTCACTCTTTTGTTTACCAAATTACACGTAAACAAATTTGAAGCACGTAAATTGAGTGAAAGAGGCACAAATTTACTTACCGCACAATAATATCAGCACATCCAAGCCAACTCGATACAGTATTCTTTTATTTGTTTCCATTTTTAATTGGGAGGTACTGTTGTTGTTGTTGTTGTTAATACTATTACCTAAGTGCACTTCAAAATTATTATTGTTTCTATTATTTAACGTTACAGTTGTATCTGAGCTGATATTATTACTTTTATTACCGTTTAAGTTATGATTTTTATTTGTTTGAAGCCCGTTGTCCACGTTTTGATTGCGCGAATGTTGAGACGTTGTGGCGATATTGTTTCTTACGTCCTCACTTAATTGATTTTCGGGCCGACGTAGTGGTGTTGTTTCACTCGCGGACGAATCGTTACTCATTTTGAAGTAGTTGAAAAAAAACGTGCTTGCTGTGAATGGTCTCAGTAAAACAACGTATATGTTAAAAAGCAAATATGTGTATTGAAACGAAACGAAAAAGTTTTCACTTGACGGAAACTTACTCCGAGAATACTAGCATAATTTGAACTGACACTGAACTTGAGCGCAAATGTGAGAATGTTTCATGAGTATTCAATCAAAAACAAGCAAAAATCAATAATTAAGTTTAAAGTTATTGAGACTAAATTTATATTTGGCAGCTTTTTTGCATTATTATTTTATTATTATTTAATTGAAATTGTTAAGTTTTTTCTTTTTCATTTAATAATGAATAATATATTCACAAAAAAAAGTTCACTCAACATTGTGGCGGGAACACTCAAAAAGATTTCATATCAAAAGCTTTTGTGAGTTATTTTAATAGAGTTAGAGCACTGACACTTCATTTTTATATGATTTTAAAAACAATTATATAGATAATAGCAGCAATTCAGACAAAATTCAATGTATTTGGCAACCAGTTATTTTTACTGTAAATAAAAAGAAAAATTAAATTTTTTAATATTATATTTAATATTTAATATATAAAATGAATTAAAATTGAAAAAGTTATTGTTCAATGGTATTAAAAGTTCGATTTTTAGTTATTAATATATATATTTTTTTTAATTAAATTTATTAAATTTTATTTTATTTTATCAGAAGGTCGCATATGGCATTGATGGTATTTCGCATTGTGGCAGAATGATTCGCCGTCTATACGTCATTATTAATAATGATTCATTATAAAGGTCAGCTTCGATAAGTTATACTATACTCGTATAGGAAACATTTTTTATGCTTTCAATAACTTAAAAATTCGCATTGTGCGTCATACCAAATTCATTTTATTTTTTCTTTCTTTAAAAATTATGCAAGTAAATTTAAAAGTTTATTTTTTGGAATTGCAAGAAAAAGTGTTAACAGATACATGTATATTATAAAGGCCCATAACCAACTTGATTGTTGAGAATTAAGTTTGGTACATTAATTTCTGTTGCTTGTTACACTTGATGAATTCTGCAGATTGAAAAATTAATCAATGCAATCTAATTTGTTCTGTGTGTAAAATTTACATAGTAATTTCTTAATTTCGCTATTTACTGCTTCGTTCTGGCATTACGAATCAAAAAATAACAAAACAAAAATATTGTACATATATTGATTTCATTACCTTTTCCATGGCATCAAGGCATGAGTAAAATTTCAATCCGTTAAATGCAGTAAACTTTACGAAAACTATTATAAGAACTAATTTTAATCCCAAACTTTAATTTTATTTTTTAATAAAAATATATGTGTAACAGACTATATGTTATTGCCTTTTATGAAACAAAACTTAGCTTTTATAGATTGCTAAAAAAAAAAAGCGTACAGATTGTAATAATTTAATCAATTATGTTTAACTAATTAGCAAAAAGTTCAACCATTTGATTGCTTGATTTTAAATGATGCGATAGAGTTATTTTAGTTGCGATGTAGTTATCCCGTTAGGGACTTTATGTACTTTAAATTAAAACGACAAGAAAATTTGCCTTATAGTATCTTGAAATAATTTCAATGAAGAAGTCGTGTCTTTCAGAGTTCTACATATGCTTCCCACTGCGGTCCTTTCGAAGGTCCTTCTAGTGTCCGACAAAAAGTACTAAAACTTAATAACTTGCTAACGATAGTAGGGGACAGAGAGATAGATTAACTTAAGAACCTAAAACACACGGCAATATCTGTGGTGATACTCATGCAGTAATACATAGAACTATATGTATCTTCTTTCGTTACAGAATACCTATATATGATATATATATTATATTTATATTATAAATTTTTAATACAGTTATACACATGTGTACATATTATAAAAATGTAATTTTGCATTATATATATATAGCATTGAATATGTGTACATAATTGTTTTATCTGTTTAGATAATTTTTTTTAAACTTTTTTTGCAAATTTTTGCCTTGATGCATTTAAACTTGATTGATTCAATAAGCTTATTTTAAAATCTTTATAAGCCCCTGAGTTATGAAAAAAGGATTAATTTTCATAGGTGAATAACCCATTGATAAATTAACTGCTCTGTAATAACTGAGTAAACATTAATTTGTTATATCATATTTTATTTGAATAATTTATGGCAAAACTTATAAACTTTAGTCATAATTAATTACCCAAACATTACAACTTTAACGACATGCATCTGAATAAGTGGCGCCTGTCAACATAAAAATTTTTTTAAATAATTTTATGAGAAAATAAAATTTTGATGAATGTAATTTATGAGGTGAGCAAAAATATATTTCCCGAATAGATTATAGATTGTAATGACTTTGCTACTTGCGTTTAAGTGGTTTTTATATTCAAATCAGAAACGCACCAATAGGCGCCACTACAATATTATCTCCTCTGCAAGGTTATGCCTGTGATATGCCCATGCTCACAGCATGCCCATTGAGTTCAGGAATTTATAAGTAAGCCATTCTTCTAACAAAATAGGTAGATATCGAAAAAAGGAAGTCTATGCAAAAAAGTGTGATTGATAGAAACAAAATAAATAAAGTGTGCAAAAATAGTCAGAGGTAAAGCAAAAGTGTTGCACTTTAAAGAAACTAATTTATATTCGAATTGTTTTAAATAAAACATAATTCTGATAAAAAAAGAAGTGAACTTATATTACATTAACTTATATTAATTATATATAAGAATATTTAGTAGATAATTGTATAAAAATCTTCTCAATATCTTCTATGTTTTCCTGAGTTCACAACATAGTTAAACAAAAGTTAATATCATCGTTGAATCAATATAAAATTATGCATATAATAATAAGCAAATTAGATAAAAATCGTATTTAATTATGGTCTCATAAATCAATTTTCATCGAAAGATCCACTGACTATAACACATCTACCACTGACGATAAAAAGGGGAAACTGTGTATTTAGTAAGATTTTTGTAATAATAAGTCAGTTGCAAAAACTCCTTTAAGGCCATTTTAGTCTATATTAAAGATTCTAGTTTTATTCGAGTTATACTGCTTTGGCTTAGTAGATCTAAAGGCATTCTTAGGATCTGAAATTAACAGGTTTAAACTATAACTTAAGATCATCGTAATAACGTAGCCTAACATATTTATGTGGGATTAAGTTGGGAACATTAGTAGTTGAGGTCGGGTAGTAAACACAGCGTGGTAGACAAAAGGAGTGAATGACGAACTACGAAAAAGATGTGAGTGTTCGGATGATATCGCTTTTCAATTAAATACTTTCGTTTAACAACTTACGCAGATTTTTACACTAGTCTACACTTAGTATAATCATAATTTAATTCATAAACATAATAAAATAACTTAAACTCCTACATTATTAATTAAGAGATTTTAAGGAAGCATTATACTTTCTAAAAGACACAGAGAATTTATATTAGCAATCTATTTATATATAATGCTATCTTCAGGTATACAAAACTTGTTGAATATTCCTTATAATGTCAAATACTTATTTGCTGCTTGAAAGGAATAATGTAGACTGCAACACATAAATTTTCATTTCATTAATGATAAAAAGAAATTATACAAATGGATATTTAGAAAATATTTTTATACAATGCTCAAAACTAATTATTTTATTGTTAGACAATGGAATTATTATTCTTCATTACAGCATTAAAAACTCAAAACCGATTATCTCTAGACTATTAAATCAAATTATTGTAAAATATAGTTTAAAGTACAAAAATTGCTCATTGCATACCTTATATAGTCAGCTCATAGAAATCTTAACAAGATTTCGAAACGCACCACAAACTAACCAGAATGCTTATTTTGTGGCTAGTACAAAAATTGGTAATACAAATGAGCAGAAATTATTAATAATAATAATTTGGACAATGTAAACTCTTATTTATACAAACAAAACCCTAATGATACAAGCAAAAGAATTAAGAAAATTACACTGTAGCTTTGAGTATAAGTTACATTTGAACATTTTCCAGTCTAATAAGTACTTTAGCTTTACCTGAGCTCATTTACCGCTACAACAAGCCGCCGCCTATAGAACTGGCAAGAGTTACTGGCAACGAATAGTGCCACAATATTCGCATGATCAACGTACAGAAAGCAGTTTGCTGCAAGACTATAATTTTCTGGTTTCAGCTTAAGTGGTATGTGTTTGTTGTAAAAAGAACGTGCAACAATCTAAAAATACATAGGCTGCGAACCCAATATTAACTTGCTAGCAGTTGAATTTAAATTTAAAAAATAAGAATTTATAAATAAAAAACGATAAAAACGAAGCAAGAAGCTGCAAGAAGCAAGAAGCTGTTGGTTTTCAATTTTCAACTCCTCAAAGTCAATGAAAATCGCAGACACGATCAGTGATCAGCAGCTCGTTAATAAGATACTCCTTCTTTAATACGCAATCAGTATTCTTGTTGAGTGCTAAAGTTCAATAATATAAATTGTGATGTTGTCAATTTTTATTAACCGAACTTCAGAATTCGATCTTCATTTTGAGTCATCTTACTTGCCAATACGTCCGCCCGTTGGTTGATTTTGTTAACAAATATTAAATAAAATTACTATACAAAAAGATGGCAAGAAAAAATTAATAATAAAAATTAATTTATTATGTGCTTAAACCGTCTGTCAATTTATAGCTTAAATTTCGACATATACGTATATAAGCTCATAACTCTTTTAATCAATTCAGTCTTGAAAAATATATTTTCAATAAAAATTTGAAAAGTGCATTTTCGTTTTGGTGAAAAGAGTTACCAAGCTAGTGCATTGCTTATCAATCTTCATATTTAGACAAGCTGCTTAAATTTTTCAGGTGTGGGGATTTTACTTAATCATTATTTATTAATAAATACATTTTCTACACTTTATTATTATTATTGTCTAATAAAATTGGTATAAAAATATATAAAAGTAATGAATGTTTTCTGTTTAATAACGTTTCTGAAAATTGTTATCTTATCTTATTTTTAAATATTGTAAAATAATTTTAAAGCTGATTAATAAATTTGAGTGTAGGTGCTAAGAAGTATTGATACCCCCTATTATTTCAATTTTTTTTTAATTATGTACTAAAATATTAAGAAATATTGGCCTAGTTTACTTTTGATAACATAAAATAATAGGACTGAATAGTTGCTTTTATTAAAATAACGACGAAAACGGCCAAGTGATTTTCAGCGGCTCTT